CCCACGGTCCCCCCTTGGGAGGCTCCTGGGGTCCTGAGGGCAGCCCACGGAGCAGACGGGGAAACCGGGGCCCAGGCAGGGGACAGTGGGACCCGGTGGGTTTCCTGGCCCAGCCCAGGTGCCCCGATCGGGGTCCAGCAACAGGGGGGTGCCCATGGGTGGCACAGACACGGGTGACCCGACCTGGCCCTGGGCAGGCTCGGGGCAGAGGCCCCATGGAAGCTTCTAGAGCCCAGGAATGGCCAAGCACTCAGAGCTGCTGCCCAGGGCGCCCTGGCCCAGCCTCTCCCCGAGCACCGCGAACCCAGGGCCCTGAAGTCGCCTCCCCGTGTCCCCACTGTCCCAGGAACCGGGCCCAGAGGAGTGGCCGCCACACACAGAGACCCCATTGAGCACACGGAGCCGCCCAGGGCTGTCCACGGGGCGGAGGGACGGCCACACCCCGCAGGCAGGGAGCAGGGACGGGGTGTGGGACGGTGTGACCACGTGTCCAGCCCCAGGTGACGTCAGCCTGCCGGGCCACACAGCCCCTCAGGTGCCCCCGGAAGCCGCAAAGGGGCTTGGCTCTTCTTGCCGGGCCGGCGGTCATTCGTCCAGCTGACACTGTGACCCGTCGGCTTCAGTGTGTCACAGAAGGGAGGGCCCATGTGACAGGGAGGGCCGTGACCTCCCCAGCCCTGGACACTAGGGCACTGACACAGGCGTGTCCCTTGCCTCAGCTCCCTGGGGACCCGCCCCAGGTCCCCTGCGCAGCCTGGTGACCTCAGGGCTCCTGGGTGGCACAGCCACCCCCAGGGCCTCCTTTTCCCGTTTGCTGTTTACTTCTGCCAGGGAGGGACGGGGGGGGACCAGGGAGGGACCAGGGAGGGACCAGGGAGGGACCAGGGAGGGACCAGGGAGGGACCGGTGGGGGGACCAGGGAGGGACCAGGGAGGGACCGGTGGGGGGACCAGGGAGGGACGGGGGGGGGACCAGGGAGGGACGGGGGGGGGACCAGGGAGGGACTTCCTGAGCCAGGCCAGCGCTGGCCACTGAGCCGCCCCCAGCCCCCTCTGCCCGCCCTCCGTCCCCAGGTCCCTGCCCAAGCACAGACGTGGCCCGTCCACTCCAGACCCACAGCCCTGCAGGGACCCTTCTCCAGGTCACAGCGTCCTGGGACAGTCCCCCCTGCAGTGCCTGTGTCCGGCATGGAGCTCGCAGAGCTGCCCGGCTCAGAGGGCTGCGGGGCTTTGCCAGCGTCCTCTGGGACATCTGGGAACCGACACCTCTCCCGCGGAGGGGACAGGGTGGCACGGGCAGGAAGGGTGGCCCGTCGCGTTCGACATTAAGGAGACACCGGAGACGGCGCCAAGTGAGCCCCGCCACCAGGCCCCGTCCCCAGTCCTGCAAATGATAGAATAATGACAAAGTCACCTCTGTCCCCAGCCTCAGTCTGTGGCCGTGCCATGGCTGCCCCTCCCCAGCCTCAGTGTCCCCTCGAAGGGCAGCACTTGGGCTGACCTTGCCAGGCCCTTGGTGGCCAGAGCCCTGGGCGGCTGTGGGGCCTCCCCTTGGCGGAGCCACCGGGGCAAGGACAGCACGCGGTTCCTGCAGGCGGTGGCCGGGGACGCGGGGACCCTCCCCAGCTCCTGCAGCCCTCCTGGGACCCCAGGGGGCCGAGCTGGGGCCCTCGAGGCCCAGGGTGACCGTGGATGACTCTTGTCACTCTGCCACCCAGGAGCCCCCTGGAAACCGGACGCAGCCTCCCACTGACCACTGCAGATTCTGTCACATGTCACTTCTCTCCTGTCTCCACGGGGATGGCCTGAGGGCCTCGCTTCCCGTGACCCCTTTGTCCCCCAAGGTCAAGTGGCTGTGACCAAAGCCAGGGTGGCCACCTGTGGTCCCTCCTCCCCAAGCCAGGACACCCCCAGGACGCACTCCCGAGGACAGGGCTGGACCCTACACACACTCCTGTACTGTCACAGGCTGCACTGTCACACCCACTGTGGTGACAACCATCTTGTTTAAAGGACGCTGCCACTGGTCCTCACCACTGCCCAGCGAGACAGGACTCTTGATGGGCTCAGATGTCGCAATGAGGAGCCGGGCACGGTGGCACCCACCTGCCATCCCAGCAGCTCGGAGGCTGAGGCAGGAGGATAGGAAGGTGGAGGCCAGCCTCAGCAGCTCAGCGAGACCCTGTCTCTAAATAGGATATAAAAAGGGCTGGGGACTGGGCTCAGGGGTCAGGGAGCCGGGTTCCGTCCCTGGCACCAAAAAAAGGAAGTCACGGCTGGAGAGTCCACCTGGGAACACTTGGGGACCCCAGTGTGAATGCCGCCCAGACTCATCCCCCTCTCCCTGTCCCCGCGTGCCGCCTCACAGCCACAGGGCCCTGGAGCCGTCACATGGCCAGTTCCGCCTGACATGGGGTCTCGCGCACCTGCGTGTGGCCATGCCCTTGACCACGCCCCCTGGCACCAGGTGGCCACACAGCCACGTGTGTCCCCGCCAAGCTGGCTCCTGGTGCCCGCAGGTCCACAGGTGTCCAGTGCAGGGCGGGCCGGGCGCCAGGGGGGAAGGGCCCAGTAGCCACTGGCCCCTGGCTGGACAGCCAGGCGCCCTGCTGGGGGTCCTAGAAGGAGGGGTGGCCGGCTGTGCCCGCGGGGAACTACGTGACAGAGCTGCGGTTGGGACAGCTCTCAGCCTGCCCCCCCACCCCGCTCTCCGGCCCTTATGTCCCCATCACTCACAGGTGTCCAGGGCGACAAGCACCGAGGCTCCAAGAAATTATTTGGGTTTTTTTTGGCACCAGGACTGAGCCCAGTTGTGTGACCACAGATTTGTTTAGAGACAGGGTTTCGCTGAGGGTGTTTCTGAATGCTGAGGCTGGCCTCCAACCTATGATCCTCCTGCCTCAGCCTCCGGAGCTGCTGGGGTGACAGGCGTGCGCCACCACACCCGGCAGAAATTGGTTTTCCATGCAGCGCGTCGGCTGGCAGTGGGGGTGGGGAAGGGAGATAAACTGGTGGGAAAGGAACGGAGGGTTGGGAGGCTGGCGAGGGAGGCTGGGGAGGGAGGCTGCTCTGCCGAGACACCATTTAACCAGAGCCTGGAGGGAGAGGAGGTGAGAGCATCCCATCTGCCCGGTGGAAACAACCCGTGCAAAGGCCCTGTGGCGGGCGCACAGGGCACATTGCAAGGAGGCAGGTGCTGTGGGTCCTGTCCTGTCCCTGTCACCTTGCAGAGATGCGAGTGTGCTTGGCCCGGGGTCCTGCCCTCAGACCCTGTGGGGACTTTGCACGGAGATGGAACTGGCGCCATGTTCCCGTTTCACAGGTGACGAAAATTGAGACCCCAGAGCAGAAGGAGCACTGAGCCAGCCCAGGGCCAGGACCAGGTCCCCACCCCACCCCTGCGCTGCCAGTCCCTCCCTGCCCCCACAGCCCCCGCCCCTCAGCCTGGGAACCAGGGACAAAGGTCCCAGCCAGTCACAGCGCCTTTCAAAGGCTCAGCGGCTTCCTCTGCCTCAGGCGTGAGAGGAAAGCTAATGTCCTTGTCCCAGGGGAGGGGGAGGCCAGCCCAGCCTGCCACCTTGGCCAACAGGCTCGTCACCCTGAGCAGATGGCCCGGGGGTCGGGGGCGTCCTGCGCCCCCTCCCTCACCCCTCCCCCTTGGTCTGAGCCCCCCACTCTCCAGACCTTCCCCCGCCATGTGACAATCAGACCTTTCTGCAGACACTGCCAGATGTCCCCCGTGGTGGGGCACTGAGACAAAAATCACCGCTGGCTGGGGACGGTGTCCTAGGAGCAGGGCGTTTGCAAATGACACACTGAGGGGAGGTCCTGGGGGCCACCACGGGGCGTGGGATCAGGCCCCCGGGGTCCCCACCCCAGCCCTGGAGGCCAGCGAGCCTGGCTCAGGACACTCAGAACCCAGTCTCTTTGGTGGCCTGAAACTGATGGCCTGTGACTTCATTCCCCCCTGGCTGGCGGCCCCAGAGCTCCGCGTGCACACCCTGGGATGGGGTCCTCTGGGAGCCTCTGTTTCCTCATCTGTGGCCGAGTGGAGGGGTCGGAGGCCTCCTGCAGGCCTGGAGGGCGACCCCTGCTTTGTGGAGGGGTCAGTAGGCCTCAAGTGGCCAGAGGGGTGACTGCGGTGTGCTTGTGGCCTAAGTCCTTTATGCCTTCGCCTGGCCATGACCGAGTGGCCACCTGGGGCTGGGCATTGGGGAGTAGAGGCTGTCTGCCTAGAGCTGCCCCTGGTTGGGGACAAGCAGGGTCACTGCAGAGTGTCCCGTGGAGGGCTGACGCCGACCCCCAGGCAGGGCGAGGAGCAGGGGGCTGAGCTGCTGTAGCTGAGTGTCAGGCAGGGCCAGGCGGTCAGCAGAGGCCAGATCATGGTGGCCTGGGGGTGGTCACCCCGGGGGTAGTGTGGCCTTCATTCTTTATATTTGTTTGGTCCCTGGGATGGAGCCCAGGGCACTCACCCCTGAGCCCGTCCCCAGCCCTTTCTATTTTTCATTTAGAGACAGGGCCTCACTATTGCTGAGGCTGGCCTCCAACTTGCGATCCTCCTGCCTCAGCCTCCCCAGCTACTTGTGTGACAGTTGTGTGTCACCTGGTTGGCTTTATTCTAAGAGCAGCAGGAAGTCCCCACGTTCCCCAGTGGCTGGGTGTGGGGCACGGCCAGAGCAGACCTGAGGGCAGGGGAGGGAGGGTGGCCGGACCCAGGTTGTGCCCAGATTGGAGCCATCTGGGGCTCCCCTGTGTGACAGTGGCCCGGGCTGGCCCTGGCCCCTGAACCCGGGCACTTCCCTCCCCACCTCCCTCTCCACGGGGTCCCCTTCCCAGCAGCCAATCAGCAGCTGTCATCGGGTTCCATTTTAGATTTTATCAATGTGTCCCCGTTGCCTGGCAACCGCGGTGGCTGGGCCTTTCTTCCTGTGTCCCAGGGAGCTGCCCCGCGCGGCACTATGTGGCTGCTCGGTAAGTGTCCCCTGGCGCAGGCCAGGCTGGGATTCCGCCGAATGTAACTCAGCTGCCAAAAGAGGCCGGGCTGTGTGTATCTCCGCTGTTCCCCGGGGACGTCCCTGTCCTCGGCCACCGGACAGGCAGGAGGTGGAAGCGTCCTGGCCCAGGTGCCTGCTGGGCCCTGGGACCTGGCTGGGGACACAGGCTCACCGCGATCGCCGACCCCCAGGCGCCCAGGATGAGGGGCCCGGGACCCCGCGGCTCCACCCAGCCAGAGCCTGTCCCCGGGTCCCCAGGGGGGCCCCAGAAGCACCCGCCACCAGGGACAGCGTGACCAGCCTGGCTTTGTGTGGCTCTTTGTATTGGAGGCGGGGACTGCGGGGCGGGCGGCCGTGAGCGGGCCCCGGTGGCCAGTGCAGCGTCCACAGCCGCCGCGGACACCAGGAGGGAGCATGGTCAAGTTCAAGGCCATCTGTCTGGAGTACTGGCAGCTGCTCTGCCTGCAGCCCCTGCCCGGCTACCAGAGGTGAGTGGACGCAGGGACTGTGGCCCCGGGACAGGGGGCCAGCACAGTCTGCTCCGCCACAGGACGCCCTCTGTCCCTTCCTGACACTGGGGGGCTCTGCCCCACAGGAGGGCAGCCACGCAGGTGGCGAGGTCCCCAGCCTGGCTCTGCCGTGGCCCTGTCCCTCCATCTCGGGGACCACCATGTCCCCAGCACAGGCCCGGGAAGGCCGACTCAGGGTTAGAAGACCAGAGTTCCGTTTCTGTCCCTTGCTGTGTGACCTCAGGAGGTCGGCTTCCCTCTCTGAGCCTCAGTTTCCCATCTGTAGGGATTTGGACCCGATGACGTCTAGTGGGACTTGGGGTTGTTCCCTGAAGTGTCAGAGCTGCGGGGGCCACAAGCCCTCGGGTCTGCGTGTGTGTGTCCATGTGCCACCGTGGCCAAGAAAAGCCCTCGCCTAGGCCAGTGGGGACAGCGCCCCCAGCCACCGCCATGTGGCCTCTGAGGGCACGTGACCAGGGGGTATGCGGAGGAGCGCCTGCCACCTCTCCTGGGGACCTCGCTTTCCGGATTTCTCCCTCTGTGGGGCCTGCGGCCATTCACAGGCGGTGGCCCTGGGCGAGTGCGGGGCTCTTCTTGTCCCTTCTAGGGGGCTCCCTCCAGGAGCCATAGAAAGGAAGTTCTCACTCTGGGGTGGGAGCCAGTGGGTGGCCTCGCTGCATGTGACCAGTGCCAGCCACTCCGAGTGGAAGGGGCTGCGGATCCGAACCCAGGCCTGTGCTGCCCCGAGGGGCGTCTCCCAGTGCGCACGTGCCAAGGTCCTGGGGCAAGCAGGCCCCAGGGCTCCGCCCGACAGGCAGAGTCAGGTCGAAGCCTGGACTGAGGGGGTCATCTGGGCGCGGGGTCATCACACAGGTATGATGGTCACACTAGCCGTGAGAGGGGTGGAGGACCGTGCTGGGCTGAGGTGGGAAGAGGGGGTTCCGGGCAGCAGGGAGGGGAGCCCAGGAAAGGAAGCAGGTGTCTTCAGGAGTGGCCAGATCCACAGGACTGGGAGGGGCCACTGGCCAGTGCCGGGCTTCGTCCTGTAATCTGTGGGATGCCCACGAGGGTCTTAGTGGACCACAAGCTGAGTCGCATCCGGGAGTCCCCTGATCCAAGAGTGAGGCCTGGCTCAGCCTCCAGGCCGAACAGAGCAGCCTCCTCTCCCCACCCCTGGGCCGCAGAAGTCAGGGCGGGGCACAGATGGGGCTCCAGGTGCCAGCGGCCGAGGGAGGCCGTCCGGAGAGGCCGGGGCACCTGGGTGGAGGGGTGGGGTTTTCTGGCCGAGGGGCACCGCAGGTGGAAATGGTCCTCGAACGAAATCCTGGAGGGAGACGGAGCCTGGTGAGGGGTTAGAGGTGGCCACAGGTGAGGCGGGAGTGTCCAGGCCATGTGTGGGGGGTTGAGGCCGAGAAGGAAGGCTGACCCTGAGCCCCCGCTACATGGACGACGGTCCTGAGCAGCTTGGAGGCTGAGGCAGGAGGATGGCAAGGTGGAGGCCAGCCTCAGCAATCAGCGGGACCCTGTCTCTGAATAACACATAAACAGGGCTGGGGACACGGCTCAGGGGGGAAGCACCCGGGTTCAGTCCCTGGTGCCAAAAAAGAAAAAAAATGACTGTTCTGGATGCTGACCCTGGCAGCAGGGGACACGAGTGTCCCGTTATCCAGGTGAAGAACTGAGGCACAGGGAAACAGCTCGCCCAGGTCCCACAGCCAGGCTCCAGTGCCACCAGGAGCCCGCGGTGGTGGCCCCAGAGCTCTGTCACGGGACACGCTCAGGCTGGGTGGGTCCCCTTCCCTCTGTGGATGTCCCCAGTGTGGGGCGGAACGCAGGCTCGGTGGTCGGCCCTCCCCGTCAGGGAGCCTAGGAAGTCACCGTCCCTCTGAGCCTGTGTCACCTGGGGAGGAGGTGCTCGCCTCCCTCGCGGGGCTCTGGGGACGAGCAGGCAGAGGCCACCGCAAGTCCCACACTTAGCAGGGCCCTGGCAGGTGGCGGCCCCAGGGTCCTGGCAGAAAGCACGTGGCCCTGGGTCACTGTCACATTCTGCTGCTTGGCCCAGACCTTCCAGCACCAAAGGGCGACTGCGGGCGTGGGGACCGTCCCCTCACAGGGCGCGTCCCCCTAGCAGGCTGGTTGTCCCCATTGGTGGCTTTCAGTTCATCCAGGACGGTCCTGGAGCGCTGCCCAGGGGCCACTGGGCCACTACTGCCACCAGAGAGCAACGCGAGGCTTCTCAAGCCCCTGCCTTCTGCCCTGCGGACCAGACGGAGGGCCACCCTGGACCCTTAGCCCCTGAGGTCCCCAAGAGTATTCGCCCCGGTCCCCCAGGCCCGAGGGTCCCCTGTGGGCTTCCCTTCAGGTGCCAGACCAGGCGCAAGGAACAGGTGGAGCCCAATAATCAGTGGTTCCCAAATGCCAGGCATCCCCAGGAGCCTGGACCCGCCCTGTGTCCCTGTGTCCCCGTGTCCCCAGCCAAAGCTGAACAGGCAGGTTTTGTCTGGTGTGTGTCCTCCTGGGCCTCCCTAGTGACCTGGCTAGTGGGAAACACGGTGTCATGTTTTACCGACCCTTAGGCGCGGTGTGGCGCTCTGCGACCTTCAGAGACCCTTGACTGTGGCTGGGTCCACGTGATGTGACGTGGCCAGGGAACCCCCCTGAGGAGCCACACAACCTCCGTGTTTCCACATGACCCCACGCTCACCCTGCCCCACTTTAAGTCACCATCTGCACACCAGGGAGAACGTTCGGCCTGCGGTGTTTGGGGACTGGCCCATTTCACGTAGCATGACTGTCCCCAGCTCCGTCTATTTATCAGCAAATGCTGTTGTTTCATTCTTTAGGGGTGAGTAATATTCCACTGAGTGTGGGCCAGGTTTTCTGTATGTCTTCTCCACGCGGCTTCACTCCTGCTGTGCCGGCCTCTCTCTGGGGAGTCCCGGGGTCCTCCTGTGGCCGTGGAGAAGGGACCTGAGAGTGCCAGGCCCTGGCAGAGCTTGTAAGATGGCCCTTGAGGCTGAGACTCTGCGTGGTGACCAGGGCAGATCCCTTCTCCGCTCTGACTCACTGGATCTGGAGATGAAGTGGGGTCAGGGTCACCCTGAGTGGGTGCCTGGGTGCCTGGGATACAGCTGGCACTCAATAAGTGCTGGGTGTTCTTAGGAATGCAGTAAGTTCAAACCAGGTGCTGCGCTGACTCTGAACAAGAGCATCCATCTCACCTGGGATGGGGCCACCTTCCTCTAGGTGACCGAGGGCTTAAGGTGACCCTGGGTTCCGTCCCTGGTGCCCAAAGTAAAGGGGGGGGACGGGGGTGGGGCTATGCAGCTGTGCTGGCCACTCTGGCTCCACAGGCAGCTGGAGGGGGAACAAGGAGTCACTGGGCGGAGGCCCTCGGCGGCCAACCAGCCTCTGGTCCCCTCCAGCTGTGGAGCCTCAGGACAGGGTTGGTTGGTGGCGGTCAGGACAGGGCCTGGCCCTCCGTGGGAGGAGGAGGAAGTAGGGGGCGTCCCCAGGGACCCCTGGCTTCCACCAGGGACAGACACAGGCAGGCCTCCCATTTCCTGGTCACCAGGGCTGTGCTCTGGATGGGCCATCCCTGGGGGCACGGAGCAGGGAGCCTGTGTTGTGGACAGGGCGGGACAGAATGGCCTGTGCTCTCTGGGACCATGTCCTTCTATTTCAGGCACTTTGGCCCCGGATGGGCTGGGAGGGAGGTAGACCAGGGGGTCAGAGTGACCAGGGGGTCAGTGTGACCACGGAGTCAGGGACCTGGAGGAGCCAGTCTGCAGCCCAAACAGGGCAGGATAAAGAACCAAGTGCCCAGGCTGGGCACGGTGGCCCTCGCCTGTCCTTCTAGCGGCTCTGGAGGCTGAGGCGGGAGGATCGCGATTCAAAGCCGGCCTCCGCAACAGCGAGGCCCTGACTCTAAATAGAAAATCAAGGGGGTTGGGGACAGGGCTCGGGGGGTCAAGGGCCCCGGGTTCATGACCGAGAGTCCCACCCACCCCAGCTCAGGGACAGGCACTGAAGTCCTGGGGGTAAGATGGCCTGGCCACCATCTGCATCTCCTTACCCAGCCCCCCAGGGGCGTGCGAAGGCGACCCAAGGCCAACTGGGCCCCAGGCCAGGCCAGCCTCTGTCACGGTCCTCCCCCACAGCCCTCTCTCTGTGTCAGCCTCAGCCCTCTGGTGGCCAGAGGGTGGGGACAGGCAGTGGCCCGTTCCTGAGCCTTGGTTTGGGAGAATCCTGCCCGGGGGGGGGACTCTCCTGGATTCTCTCTGACAAACACTGTTGCCGTGGGTCATGGCTGGGGGTGACAGGGCACCGTCCAGGTCAGCCCTGGTGCATCACCCATCTGCTGGACGGGTCAGCCAGCCTGGGGACGGTCATGCCAACCCGGGGACTCCAAATGCCCCGCTGATTGGGGGGCTGGGCCTGAGGGCTCAGGAGCCGGGTCCCCTCCCCTGCTGGGCTTCCTGGGGCTCCCGTCCCCCAGGGTTCCCTGACTTGAGCCCTGACCCCTTGTCCTTCAGGAGGGGACCTAATGTGGACATCAGGTAGATGAGATGGTGGGTGGGTGCCGCTCCCTCTGGCTAGGGTCCCTACAGGACAAGGACTTGGGGCGCAGCACACAGAGGGAGCCCCACATGTAAAGACCCATCTCCTGTGTCCACTGCACTGAGCCGAGAGGCCCGGGGCATTCTGGGTGTCTGTGGGGTCATCTGGGTGGGCGAACTCGTCTTGTTTGGTGATCATTCTGTAGCTGTGGGTCAATGTCACACCTTTGTGCTATCTATTCACCTTTATGCGGTGCTGGGGACAGGAACCGTGAAAAGATCAGGGCACCCTGAGTCTAGAGGGCAGAACCTGTGTCCCCCCCAGGATCTCCCACAGGGACCTCTCTGGGACCTGACAGTCTCCTGCCCACTGAGAACCTCAGTCTCTTCTTCTGAACCCGGCCATAAAGCTCTCGGGTT